ACACATAAAAAAGAGAATGGCACATCACTAAAGGATGTGCGGTCAATATATCCCGACGACACTAAGCACACCACTGGACTATCCACGGAATGCTGACCAAACTGTCTTAGATTCCAGTACGTGAAATCGATGTTCGTATTTGTTTGTGAATATCACGTGGCTTGGTTGTGTTAGATAACCTGTAGTTGTGCGCTGAAAGCAAAGAAGAAATAACCATGGCGTCCTTCAGGGAAAATGTTAAAGTCCGGTCGTCAGGTGCTCTTTCCGCTGTGCATTTTACCTGCCATTCTCTGCTGAAGGTCACATGATCGACACATGCATCACTAACGCAGCCTAGTGTGGCGCTCGCAAAGCACTATCCCAAAAAGCTAACTCAACAAAAATTCACATATGATGAACTTTTTCATGATACCTTATACCGGATTTCTAACCTACAAGGAATTGTCCACAGAATCCGTAGTTCCACTCCTCAATAACAGGTCGAAAACCGAAAGCAAAAATTGAACAAAGTAATTGAACAGGATGAGCCGGACTTCAAATATTGTTCGTGGTTAGTATCTTTTACAGATGTGTAAACAACAAGTGAAAAATTGTCGTCAGACTGACTCGAATTCTTCGTCACCTCGGATCGTATTAAAACACTGATAGTGGGTGAAATCAGCATAACACTCGTGAGATTACATTGTCATATCTTTAGCGTGTTCACGTTATGACAAGCGAATAGGACGTATACGGACCACGTCGGTGGGCTCTCGTAGACGTGTTTAATCGTCTCCCCACAAACAACGTTCATGACAACTTTAGTAAGTCCGTTGAAAAACTAACTGAGAGTGATAGAACCACATGTCCACAAGGCAGCAACCGCCTTGAACATATCACTCAGAGAAATCAGAATGGTCACACCATCACTAAATGACTCGTGATAATCAGGCCTGTTTTTATTAATGTTCCCGGTTCTGGGATGGATATGAAGAATCCTGGGGAGTAATAACAAAAATAACAAAGGCGCATACGTTTAACTAAAAAACCATTGACGGGGATATGTATGGCCTGGAAACCTGTAGTCGCACTGACAGGTTTGGATCAAAAATGGGGTTAGACCTTCTAACTAGGAAGATAATAGCCTCAAACGTAAATGTGACTTACTTTGTTTTCTAACGTGTCACTTTCTCCTCCATTCTGATCTTCGTTCGACAGGCATTCTGTGCGACTTTTGCACTCTTCGTACATGAACATCATCCGACGTCGGTTGTCGTTTTTGGTTTTCCTAAGAATCTCTTGTATTTGAGGTGACTGAACATCAACGAGGATCTTCGAACAATGAAAACAAACGCATCGTAAGAGCTTCAAAGTCTTCTTCATGAAGCCAATGTGGAAAACTGGTTTCGCCAATTCGACGTGTCCAAAGTGCCCAGGACAATTGGATACGTTTCCACTACATGTCTGGCATATTGAACCGCGATCCACACATCCTTGGCGAGGATCCATCAAACCCCCAATTTTAGGCTTTCCACCCTCCATGGTTTCCGCATACTTGATCCCGCCATCATTCGTGACTGACATTTCTTTCTGGTAACGAGGGAATACAGAATAGTATGACACCACTGAATGTGGTTAACTAAGGGTAGACTTTGCCGTAGACACGTATGCGGTGGCCCAATATCATCACTGACAGCAACAGACCAGTAATACATACAGGTACTTAACTGCTATACAACTACGACGGAAAAAAGCCTTAGTAAATAGTGGAAAGCGAAGGGTAGAAAATTAGGGCGAATAAGCCCTATGTCCTTAAGGTGCTATTATGGGGATCAATCTAGTGTCCTTTGTGAACCTCACTCGATATGAATGTTATATACTAACGCTGTGTTAAACTGCTCACCTGCTATTCATTAAACTAACTGTTTCCTAATGTTTTAGCTGATGTGCTGAAATTGTCAAAAGATTAAAGCCTATCATTCAGCAGTCCTCGTTCTCTATTTCTGACTGTCATTCGAGTGCACAACAATGAGCCTAGTGCACGACATACAAAATTTAGCTGGCCAGTCGGGCTAAGAAATGACAGTATACGCGCCACTGGGATCGGCGGTGCGCCGTGTCCCGCAGGGTTTCCAACCACCTACAAGTAGGGTTACTTGGGCCCCAGTCAGGGAGGCATAGAAACCATACAGCACTCGATTTGACAGTAGCCGCTTCCATTTTAAGTTGCCATGTCAAGGTCTGTCCCACGCAAACCTTCCACCAACAATCTCTCCGAGCACAAATCAAAGCTTTTTTTCGGCAGACGGTGGTTGGACATATGTGACATGCTACAACCACCACAACCTGGTAAGATCAATCTGCCACTTTAACGAACCAGATTCACTACCAATTGTCCGTTTACACACCACTTTGTACGGGACTCGCTTTAAGCGGCTTACACCTGTGGTGCTGTGAAGAGGAAGCACATACAGATAATACGAGACAAGAAGTTAGAAAGGACACTCTTCATCGCCAGACACTACCAGAGTTGCTGACGATCAACGGATTTGAAAGCAGCTTTCAAATTAATAAAAAAGACTGGTGTTGGTCGGCAGAGAGAGGGGCGCACCTTCAGCAAGTCGTAAAGTGGATATATAGTCTATCAACCCTGGCGAAGAAACCCAGCTTGATTTTCGTTAGTCTGCCTCTCCCGAAGATGAATCAAGCTGTGTAGGATAGTGAAAGAAAGCATTTTGGAAGCTATGGTCGCGGTGGTTTTGAACGGTTCTTTCAACCTTTTACGAATATTGGAAACACCGTCCATTCCACCGGTATTCTTTCCTAACTCCAGATATTTCGGTTAGACTAGGGGGCTCCCCACTTTTTTTAAGGGTGTGGGATGCAGACCGCCTGGACCAGGTGATTTATTGTTTTGAAACTTTACATTGAACTTCCGTTGTCGATGAGGGAGCCGACGAAACGTCCACCTGACTTGCTAGGCTGTGGGAGGCTCGCCTAACCAAAGAGAGCAGGAAGTAGTGAGTACCTATCCCACTCCTGATGCTACCGCGCATCGCAGATGCGTATGAAACTAAGTCGAACACTCGGTAGGCTTTGATTGTATCTCAACTATATTGTGAAATTCGTCTGATGATCCCAGTGTAGGATTTTCAGGGCCAACATTTCCTAGCCCGTCCTCCGTCAAGGTAAGACAGCATTCCTTCTTCCATAAATATGGAAATGCTGATTGCTTGGAGGGATCACCTTACTTTTATCCCATTCTATTCAAAGCAAATAGCGCGACGTTACCCCCAGCCCTCCATGAAATAGGAGTTTTCGTCGTCTACAGATTTGCTACTCTTCGTCAGACTAAGCCCCGTTGGCCTACTCATCATAGTTAAAACTCAAGAAACTGAAGTCCGATCAGTATCGTTCGCAGTCTTGTTGCACCACTGAACCCGGGCTACCACAAGGTGACAGCTTTCTGTCACGATATTGCTACCGGTCACTTGGGGAAGGCAATAAGACTATCGTAAAAATTCTTGAAACATGTGTGTGAATTCTGACCATGTGCTCGTCCGGAGTCGTTTTTGTGATTGTTTTGCGAGGCCGTCGAAGTGGTGGACACTAGCTTGCGGATCCCTAATCTGAACGATGTTGCCAGAACCGCGCCTAACATTTAATCCGCCATCGGATGTTGATTCACATTGGAAACGGGTCATCAAACCTGTGCACAATGACGAAAGCGTCGCCTACAGCACTGTACCCGTCACGAAGAGACTGGACCTTACCGTGGTGTGATGGTTTGCGCACCTCAGCGATCCACTGAGCTATACTGGAGAGTGTCCCGCGACACTCACAGAGTCTCTCATACCAGGTTGGTCAATGGTTAGAGGTCTGACGAACACAGTCTCCTGGCCCTCCAGGTTGGGGGTTGGAACATGTGGCGACTTGT